ATCATAGAGATTTTCACGATTGGGAAACACAATCATGCCACTTCGTGTAGAAGCAAAGCTTTAATTCAAAGACGCTCCTCTCCTTTCACACATCCCATCACCTCTTTGTAAGACCGATTACCGACAATTACCACGTAGAGAGCGAAATCTGTTCGATTATTAAAAAAAAAAAAAAAAATTGGAAAACTTGCTGACTTCTGCTATGGCTGAATTTCTTCGCACGTTATAGAAGTTTTTGGAATTTTCAATTTTACGTGATACATTAGGAGGGGTAAGAGAAAAAGAGAGAGACAAAGATATTAGAATTGTGGAGAAAAACTTCCCTAGCTGAAGTTATATTGAGATGATTTTGGAGAAATAGGTGTTATTTTTTAACTATCCATAATCAAAAGTTTGATTAAGCAACGTTGTTATGTTTTTTACCACAGATGCAGAGACAAGAAACAAAGATGATAAGATCGAGGAGAAAAACTTCAATAATTGAAGTTTGATAGGATAAGAATCTGGGTCCACGAGGCCTATCTAGAAAATTGCTTGGACAGTGAATATGTGTACATTGAATTCAGATGGTAAATAATGTGCCTCGATTATTGAGATTTTCCAGCATCCGTTGGATGGACACTGTTTTCAATGGATCTCTATTAGAGAGCTAAGCATTTGGGACTGGCCCAAAAATCCGGTCCGCACAAGGACTTGCCTTTGGAGGCTTGGTCCCAAACCAAGTCAGACCCATGAAAGAGGGACTAGTCCCTAGATCGGACCCTTTTCTTAGGCCTAGTCTTAGGACCAGTCCTAGGCCCAAGCCTAAACCTCTTTCCTTTTTATCAAAAGCCTCCCAAAAAATATCCAAAAATCTTCGTAAATTTTGAAATTAATAAAAATACTGAAGGTTAATATTTTTATAAAATAAAAAAAAAAAATACACACAGCACATAACCGTTAACCATTTGCAACCAAAACAGTCATGTAGTAGTCCCCCTAAAGGTGGAAAAGTAACCTGCCCGACCCGACCCAGCCCGGCCCGTGACGAGTTACTTTGTTTGACGGGTCGGGCCTAACCCGCCTGCCAAGACAGGCGGGTTAGGCCCGCCATTTTCTCCAAAATGGCTGGCCCAGCCCGGCCCGCCAACCCTAACCCGCCGGGTTAGGTGGCGGGCCGGGTTAGCCTGATTTTTCTATTTTTTTTGTTTTTTTATTTAACTTTTCAAATAAATAATTATAAATATAATTGTTTTTAATTAACTTTTCAAATATAAATAATTCAATTCAATTTTTTTGTTTGTTAACATTTCAAATATTAATTCAATTTTGATACAATAAAATTATAATATAAGAAAAATTAGACTTATTCATTTATCAAAAATTACAACAATTATTGCCTCGTTAAAAACTTCACCAAGAAAAACCCAATGGGATAAAAACTTGGTAAAGAAAAAAGAGTGCAATAATTGACAATTAATTTACAAATTACATTTTACAAAACAATTAATTTGGGGGTGGTTCATTAGGACCTCCCTTATCTGTATCATCTATATTACAAAATTGAAATGATTCTATTAAAGTATTGTCAAAAATTGAGAGATTAGAGATTAGAGAATATGAGAGAATGAGAGAATTTGAGTTGTGAGAAAAATGTGAGAACTTACGGCCAATTTATAGGAAAAAATGGGAAAGAGAAATGACGAAAAAGACCCTTCCAACGGCTATATTTCAAGGGTAAAGGGGTAATTTAAAAAATAAAATAAAAATTTTTATTTTTTTTTAATTTTTTTCGACCAACCCGCCGGGTTGGCTGTTGCAACCCGGAGGGTTGGTAGGTTGGCCGTTAAACCCGCCGGGGGCACACAACCAACTCGACGGGTTGCCGGGTCTCTTGCAAAAGAGACAATAGCAACCCGTCGGTTGCGGGTTGCCATTGTGCAACCCGGCCCGCCCGGGGTTGCTGGGGTTAGGGTCAACCCGGACCGCCATCTTGGCGGTCCGGGCTTAACCCTCATTTTCCCGGGCCGGGTTAGGGTTGACCCGCCTAACCCGGCCCAAATTTTCCACCTCTAAGGCCCCCCCCCCCCCCCCCCCCCCCCCCCCCCCCCCCCCCCCCCCCCCCCCAAACAAAAAAAAAAAAAAAAAAAAAAATAACTACACTAAATCAGTCCCTCACACCCCCATTTTCTTCACACTAACTCTCAATCTCTCTACTCCAATCCAATTCTCATTCTCATTCATATTCTCTTCAATTCAATTTATATTTATATTTATAATTTATTTATTTATATTATTCAATTTTTTCTATATTTCAATATCATTTCTTATTCATTTTTTTTCATTTTAATTATTTATTATTTTATCATAAATTCATAATGAATTTCCGAAATTATGCAATCGGAGGATCATCCTCAAATGAGTTTTACGTTTCATCCACTGAAGAAATGGAATGGTTCGATTCATTTTCACCCTTTCCAGAGGCAGCAACTGCAATTCAACGACCACATTTAGGGGTGCTTAACGGGCCGAGTCGCTCGCGAGCCGGCTTGACTTAGCTCGAGTCTGGCTCGTTAACGTCTCGGCTCGTCAAATAACGAGCTGGCTTGACTCGGTTCGTGAGACAGAACGAGCCAAGTTCGAGCCATGCTTAGCTCGGCTCGTTAGGCTAACAAGCCGAGCCTGGCTTGAAAAACGGGGGGTTTTTGGGGTTTTCTAAAGTACAAGGGATTAAAATGAAAATTTAACAACAAAAGTTTTAAAAAATGACAAAATCTCCCCCCCCCCATTTTTTAATCCCTAAAACCACGACACTTTCTCATTTTCTGTAACTCTTTGCCATAATCCCTAAATTTCATTGATCCTCAGCACGGTTTGTCGACAGCACCAGCACACCTCCCAATCGTCGTCAACTCTTTGCCGTGAACCACGTCTTCTTCATCGGATTTGCCCATCGTAGAGCTGTCGCGGTCCTTCGCCGTGAACCACATCTTCTTCATCGAATTTACATCGCAAAGCCATTGCCGTCAGGCCCATTGAAGGCTCGCTGATGCTTGGCCGCGATTCCTGTCGTTTTCTTTGTTCGTCGTGAAATAGATCTGAGATGTCGTCGACCATCGATTCCACAACTAATCAAGTATTGGTAGGTAATGAGTAATCAAGTATTCCATAGTTTCTAACTGAACTAATTGTCTTTAGTGTTGTATATATCTTGAGAAATTTAATTAGTTCTTTTGCTTGCTGTTGTGCGTGAAATGTGACTTTGTCAATCCATTGTTTAAATTGTCAATCCACAAATAGTATTCCACAAGTAATATTATGTGTTAGGTTGCATGGTTCCCTTTTTATTTTTTAAGCTGTTTGTCATTATTGAATCATTTTCCTGAATTTTTTGTCTGTAACAGGGGGCTTTTTCCTGTGAAACAATGTATCAGGGTCCTGTTGTGGTAGTGGTGTTGTTGTGATTCCTATGAAACCCATACAAGAACCAGTTGTGTACTGTCTGTGAGGAGCTGTCTGTGAAGACTGAAGAGTAGTCTAATGTAGCCTATAGGGTAGTTTGTTTCATTGTTTGTTTAAATTGCTTTACTGAATTTTTTTGTGGTTGTGTTGACATGTTGTGGACTTGTGGGACATTTGTTTACATGAAAATTGAAATTGCAAAGTAGTTTGTTAATTTGTTTGTGGACTGTGGTTATGGACTTGTACTTGTGGGGCTGTGTTTTACAAAAAATAGCAGAATGGCAATTTATACATTTGTTTGTGGTTGTGTGTTTGGTGGTGGGGACTAGGTGCTTTGTTATTTATTAAATTGCAAAAGGGTACAGGGCAGTGAAGAGTAAATTGTAAAAGGGTAAAGGGGCTTCGTTATATATTAAATTGCAAAAGGGTAAAGGGCAGTGAAGACTAAATTGCGTTTGGTGGTGAGGACTAGGGGCTTTGTGCGTTTTGAGACTAAATTACGTTTGGTGGTGGGGACTAGGGCCTTTGTGCGTTTTGAAGGGACTAAACAGGCATAAGACATATAATTCTAAATTGTATTAAAGACATTATGATTTATGTAGTAGAATAAATAAGCATAAGACATATAATTCTAAATTGTATTAATGACAATATGATTTATGTAGTAGAATAAATAGGCATAAAACATATAATTCTACAAAGTCATTTAAAGAATAAATGGGTTTGAATGAATAAATAGAACATTTAATTCTTCAACCAACATCTCTAATTAAAGAGTAAATGAATGTTGGGATGTATTAGTGACAATTAATATTGGTGTGCAATGTATAATGTATTGATTTGATGTGTGTGCAATGTAATAGTTTTATTCTTTACTAATGGAGATGAAAATGGCTGCTATTCGCTGAATTTGCATTAAATTGCTTAATTTTTTTTTCCATTTATAGGTTTGTAAATGGAGAGTAATTTCATTTATAGGTTTGGTGACAATTAATATTGGTGTGCAATTAATGGTTTTGCATTAAATTTCTGAATTTTTTTTTCCATTTATAGGTTTGTAAATGGAGGGTAATTCCTCAAATACCCCTACAATACAAGATACAATTACCGATACGCCTGGCGGTAACCCTAACTTGAATGCAACCACAATAAATATGGAGCAAAGTATTAGTAGCCCGGATAATGGTGATGAAAATGAAAATCCAATTCAGAAGAAAAAAAAAGCGAAGACATCAGTGGTATGGACGGAGTTCAAGGAGGTGGTACTCTCTAATGGTACCAAAAAGGTAGAGTGTATCCATTGCAAAGTAAAGTTGTGTATTAATGCCACCAGAAGCACCACCTAGTTTAATAAACATTTAAGCCAGTGTTTAAGGAGAAAAGCTTCCATGACGCAACAACATATTACTTTTCTGAGTGCCGGTAATGATGTTGCAACTACTATTTTGCCCGCTTTAAGTGGGAAGTTTGACATGTTGAAAATGAGGGAATTGATCGGCCATTGGGTGCTCATGCATGAGCATCCATTTATAGTTGTGGAGGAAGAGGGCTTGAACAATATGATGAAGTATAAGATTCCTGGATGGACTCTGGTTTCCCGCCATACTTGTAAAAAAGATTGTATGAAGGTATATGAAAGTGAGAAGGCCAAATTGAAGACTTTGTTCAAGAGTGTGACAAAAATCAGTTTGACTACAGACTTATGGAATTCAGGGAATCAAAAGATGGAGTATATAGTGTTAACCGAGAATTGGATAGATAGTACTTGGAGGCTGAATAGACGTATCCTCAACTTTGTTCGTCTACCTCCTCCCCGGACTAGTATTGCGATTGCGGATGGCATTTTCAACTGCCTAATGGGATGGGAAATTGAAAATAAGGTATATACTATTTATGTGGATAATGCTTCAAGTAATGATGTTGCGATTAAGGTTTTGAAGGAAAATTTTGAAGTTTCGGGGAAACTCCTTCGTGGAGGTAAACTGTTTCATGTGAGATATTGTGCACACATCTTGAACCTGATTGTTTAAGATGGACTTTATCAAATTAGGCACATCATTGATGACATCCATGAGAGTGTGTTGAATATCAACAGTTTAGAAAGTAGGCTTAAGGTATTTTCTGAGATTGTTCAACAACTTAAATTGCCGTATCTGAAACTTATTCTCCACTGTAAAACAAGGTGGAATTCTACCCATGAAATGTTGGCAATGACAATTTAGTTCGAAAAAGTTTTTCCAAGATTGAAAGAGAGGGATATCAATTATCATAATAATCCGAGTGATGAGGATTGGGAGAAAGAGGAGAAAGTCTGCGAAATTTTAAAAGTATTCAGTGGTTCAACCAAACTCATTCTAGGAAGTGATTATCCGACATCTAATTTATTCTTGAAGGAGGTGTGTGTAGTGAAACGTATGTTGGATAGTAAAAGTGAATCTAAAGATGATTTTGTTAGAGTAATGGTTAGGAGAATGAAAGAGAAGTTTGATAAATATTGGGGGGAATGTAATGTGTTGATGTCTGTGGCTGCTGTATTGGATCCTTGGTTGAAAATGAGGGTCATTGAATGGGCATTCCCTAAGATGTATTCTGAGACAAAAGCGCGGGCAAATATGATGACGGTCCGGGATGCATTGTATGAGTTATATGGGAAGTATGTTCAAGCTAATCAAGGTGTGACTATCGCCCGTGCTTCTACATCAGAAGGGGATGGACATGGAGCCATTGGCGAGGGACCCGAGGCCCGGGATGATTTTAGCAGTTTTTTGGATGTGGTTGAAACTGTTGAGCCTAGTAAGTCTGAGTTGGACTGTTATTTGGGAGAGAGATGCCATAAGTGTGTGGGGGATCATGACTCATTCGATGCCTTATAGTGGTGGAAGGCAAATTCAACCAATTATCCTATATTGTGTATGATGGCTCATGGATACTAACCATCTCGATCACTATGGTTGCTTTAGAGTCTGCATTCATGTTGGGAGCAGGGTTATTGATAGCTACTGACCTTTTTGTCACCAACTACAGTGGAGATGTTGTTATGTGGATGTGACTGGTGTCGCACTTGGAATGGAGTGAAGATAGGGTGCAAAGTAAGTTCCATTGATTACATGTTTTGTTTAATTCAATATTTAAAATTACTTTATTTTAACCTACAGATTATTTTTTTTTTTCTCTTTTTCATTTTAGAAAGAAGAGGATCACTTGGCGATTCAGCTTCCTGTTCTGTCAGGTGATTGGAGTCAGCAGATTGGTTGATTCACCCGTGAGTTATTGGCTGTGGCAGTAGAATTCTGCAGATATATATTTATTAGTTTTGTTTTGAGGTTTGCATTTTCATCTTTACGGTTTATATAAATGACAATTGTACTTAATGTGTTTCACATTAATTTGTTTGTAGGAGTAGGGCTATAATGGACATACAACCAATTATCATTTGCTGTTATATATATTTTTTGATGGATGGGGGATATCACTTGATGTATAGTTATGCTAACCCCCCATTTTGTTTTGATGAAAACTTAATTAAGTCAAGTGAACTAAACAAAAAACCTTTAGTTCACTTAACTTAATTTGTGGTACATATAGTATGTTGAATGATAAATTGTTAATAGCAGTAGCATTTGATTTAATGTTTATTTTAAGGAGGTTTAATTGTTGGGTGATGTATGAGGACATGAGAAGAAAAAAATTACAATCTGTTGAATTGAAAAGTTGTTTGAGGATGGCCAAAAATGAAAATGAATCATGAAAATTTTACAAAAAGCTTTAGAGTATCAGACCTGCGTGCTGCCCAGGTAATTTAAAAAAAACAAAATGAATTTTTGAGAATATTCCCATCTCTTTCTCAAGCTGAGCCGAGCCATGAAATTTGCAGCTCAACTCGATTAATAATCCTCTCTCACGAGTCGAGCTCGTTAAGACAAAAACTCGGCTCGTTAACACCCCTAACCACATTCGACCGGGACGGGGTAAAGCGAAACACAAGCGAATTGCAGCTAAACACAAGCGAATTGCAACTCCACGACAACACCACCCACCCCCCCCAAATGAGGGCCATGTCCAATGCATGGTGATACTTCACCAAATCAAAATAGGTAAAGAAAAATGGGGAGGGGAAGAATCATGCAAGGTATGTAATTTATGTGGAACCATTATCAGCGCTGAGAAAGAGACTTCGATGATGCGGCGACACTTGGAGAAGAAGCAACCCCAAATAATACAGCTGCCTGGTCCATCTTCAACTGAACCCGGTAAGCAAATTCAAACTCAACTTAATTCTAATCCACAATCCTCAACTTTGTCAACATGGCAGTACAATGCACTCCAAGCACGAGAGGAAATAGCAAGATACATAGTTACTACAGACTCTCCTCTTTCTTTATCTGAAAATCCTTATTTTATTCACATGATTAAAACATCATTTTGTCCAACATATACCCCTGTTAGTAGAGGTACAAGTAGAAAGGACATACTAGAGCTTTAAAACAAAATAAATGTTCAACTTAAAAACAAATTTCAAAATTTTAGGAATATATCTATTGCACTTAATTCACACATATGGGCTTGTAGATCAAAAACAGATTTTTTTAGCTATCACAATACATTACTTAGATCATAGTTGGGGTTTACAACAAAAATTGATAGGTTTTAGACTATTATATACTGCACATAATGTTGACACTATTTATTTTACAATTCTTAAAGTTTTGAAGAATATGTATTAACTGATAGAGTTGTAGCACTAACGTTAGATAATACAGCTACTAACACCGTAGCTGTCTTTTTATTTGAAAAGAGATTGGATCTGTGTGGTGAAGGCAAATTTTTTCACCAGATATGTGCTTGCCACATTATCAATTTGATTGTTACAATAGGTTTAGAAGCTATAAATTTAAGGATTGAAAGGGTGCGCATGGCTGTTAGATTCATCGTCGGCTGTAGCAACAAAAAATGGCAGGAGTACATCAAATATTGTAAGCAAGAAGACTCACGGTTTGACCATGGAAGTTATGTATGGACATGCCTATCCATTGGAACTCCACCTACTTGATGTTGGAAAAGCTTTGCTAACCCCAAGACAAATTACAGATTTTGTCAACCGGAAGAACTATTCGGAGAAAGTTGTCAACTATGATGATTAGACGGTTTGCAAACATTTTTATTCATTTCTTAAAGTTTTTTATGATTCCACTAATACATTAGGTGATATTTATTATCCTACTACTAATTTAGCGTTAGATATTTTACTTCAAATTTCTAAAACTTTTGCTAAATATAGATATAATGACGTTTTAATGGAAATTGTTGCAAAGATGGAAAAAAATACGAGAAATATTGGTTAGATATTTCATTCTTATATGGATTAGGCCTTGTTGTAGATCCTAGGTTTAAATAACACGTAGTTAATTATTTAATTATTGAGATGGGCTAGCATTTAGGACATGATTATACATCTTATTTGATTAGCTTTAAGCAAAAATTGGAAAGCCTTTTTTCTTTATATCAGAGCAGATACAATGGAAGTGGAACTGGAGCGTCCAACAGAGACGACCAACATGACCCTAATGAAGACATTTATCATGGATTGAGCATGTGGACGTATATGGAACATGGCGGAAGTAGCAGCTCTAGCTCGTACATACATAGACCAAATGAGCTAAATCGTTACCTACAAATGGACATGTCCTACATGACAAAGAAGGAGAAACGTGAGATGGATGTGCTTCAATGGTGGAACCAACATCAAAGTCGATTCCCCATTGTCGCCCAAATGGCACGTGACATTTTATCTGTGCCGGTTTTGACAATTGCATCCAAGTCAGAATTCTCAACGAGTGGCCAGATTGTTAAAGACAGAAGATGCTCTTTAATCAATGAGATGATTGAAGGGATAACGTGTTCATGGGATTGAAGGGATAACATGTTTAAGGGATTGGACTCAGGCAAATAGAAGACTACAACAACACCCTAAAGATCCCGAACTACTCAAACTCTTTATGAATATAGATTTGAATGATGTAAATATTGTTGATCATGTAGATGAATAATTTAATAAAAAAAATTTATTTAATTGTTTATTTGTGAAGTGTGAATGTGTGAATATTACATCTATGTTAAAATTAATTAATTAAATTATCTCTTTTAAGTTTAAATTTAAAACACCCCATATTTATAAATAATTATTAATTATAATTAACCATTAATTTATTTATTAATTTATTATTTTTAACATTAATTAAAAATCTACTAATCTCCCCCTAAAAATTACTAAAATCCCCCTACATAATTTCATTTGGCCTCTTAAATATAAAAAAAGTTTGGGGGGGGGGGGGTGGTGGAGAAATAAATTTTCCAAGCCCATAAGATAGGTCCTATGGGCCTAGGATTAGTCCGGGCCCTGAAATTTTTCATGGGCCTAGGACCGATCCCAGGCCCATGAGTGACTGGTCCCAATCGAGCCTAGACCTAGACTTGGTTGGGACCAGTCCTTACCCAGGTCTAATCAGAGATCATAAAAAAGATCTTTATCCCTTGTGATATAAGAAAAATGCTATGTTTACAACCCAATTTCACAATATTCTCTTCCAACCCTAACGTGGTAGTAGATTGACATTGTTACATCAGCTCCCACTACATGCAAGACATCAAAGGCACTACTAGAAATGAACAATTGTTCCTTCATAAGGAATGATTGTTCCTTTTGTTATTCCTTAAGGGAAACCATTCATTTCATAAGGAATGGTTGTTCCATATTATGAACGGCCATTAGGAATGACTGTTCCTTATTTATGAATGGTCATTCCTTTTGTTGTTCCTTCATAGGGAAAGGTCATTCCTTCAACGAATGACCATATCTTTGGTCTAGTCAAAATCATTTTGGCATGACAATGCCAACTCAATTACCACATCGAGGTTGTAAGAGAAGTTTGTGAGAAAAAGGTTGTGGATGTGACATTACTCTTGATATAATAATTTTGAGAAACATCAATTTCAATAGTATCAAACTACTTAAAAATATCCAAAAACACTACATTTACAACCCAATTTCACAACCTTCTCTCATAACTCTAACGTGACAGTAGAGTTGACACTACCACATTAACTGACGACTTTGACTGAACATGAATGGTCGTTCCTTAGGGACAAACGACCTTTCATTCATAAGGAATGATTGTTCCTTCATAAACCATTCCATTAATAAGGAATGATATTTCCTTCATAAGGAACAACCATTCCTTACAAATGAACGACCGTTCGTCCCTAGGAAACGACCGTTCGTGTCTAGTCAAAGTCATTTAGTACTTTAGGTGTGGTGGGAGATGACAAGACAGTTGCCAACTCAACTATCACTTTGGGTTTGTAAGAGTAGGTTGTGAGATTGGGTTGTGAGCGTAGTATTACTAAAAAATATCTCCAAAATCAACATAATATAATTTCCGTTGTGCGTTGAAGTTTTTCTCCTCAATTTCAAAAATTTATCTCCTCAATTACAACTCATAAATAAGTTCTTCAAGTCAAATCCCACGCGAGAGGATGATATTTTGAGTTTTAGGTAATTAGATTTTCCAACCACAACCACATCTTCCCCCAGCTAACCTTCCAAATTGCCTACCAACTATTTGTGGATTTGCCAACCCAAACACCCCCTCAACTTTTGCCACTATCGTGCATGCACTCTCCCAACAACGTGCACAACCTCTCTTGCCTACAATTGGTGGTGTTGGGGGTGAATTTCAACGATTCTGATTGATTTGTGGGGGTGGAGGATTTTGGGGTGGTGGGGTGGGGAAGAAAGCAAAGGGTTTGAATTAGGGTTTATTTATTTATTTTTGTTAAAGTTTATATATAGGGAATAGAACGAAATAATTACTCCTTGACTGTTTTTTTTATTTTACTATTATGTCCTTTTTTAGTTAAACTTGATGGGCGGATCTTAATATGGGTAGTAAAGTTGTATTAATTTGAAACTTTTTAGGTAGGACCTTGGTTGGGAAAAAGTCGTTCACTCATGATTTATTATGACAACATTTGATTTTCAATCATCCCACATCCCATATCACATTAATATTTCATCAATTATGTCAAATGAATAAAAATTATTTTTATAAAAGCATTAAGGTTGCATTTGTTTAGATATCTTTTCACTATCCTATCCAATCCAATAAAATAATTAATATTTCTATTCAACTCAAAATCCAATCCTATTCTATTCAAATAAAAACATTTAACAATTAAGTTTCTCAATAAAAAATTAT